ATCTCGCATGTGACACATAATACAAAGGCCTCATTTAACTTCCAATCCTTTAACGTATAATTTAGACAACATTTTTAATTAAATCATTGTTTACCGTGTAAAAATTAATTCTCTAATGAACTTCAAAGTTAAAATTATCTCGTACAGGAGAAATTAGTCCAATAATAACTTGCGAGTAAAATAATATTGCTTACGCTTCGCGTGAAACATAGGAAAATTCGCGTTCATCAGTGTAGTCACGGATGGAAAATCGATTGTAGTTACTTCTCGTACCGTCAAAGCGTTAAAAGTAATATCTCTTGCCGTTATTTATGGTTATTACATAATTACAAACATACATAATAAAAGGATATAAGTATTCGACATATTATCATTAACGACTACCATTAATTTGTCTCTTTTTTTCTAATTTAGTTTTCAGTACTTAATTTCAAACACTTAATCATTTTTATCATATGGTGTGTAGAAAAAAACAATTTTACTAAAATATTTAAAAATTGTTGATAAGAAGATACTGGTATATTCTGATAATAATTGAAACATTTTATAATTATTTTTATAATCCAACAAATCCAAAATTATTTTCAAATCTGGCAAAAATTTTCTTTCTATATACATTGATCAATTGATTCATTGTAAATATAAAAAAACACTTTAGATAAAACTTGGCATTTTTAATAGTACATCAATCACGTAATGTATGTTATCACAGTATCGTTATGTCCTTTTCATAATGTATATATCATCTAAAAGCACTCATAACGTCGATACGATCGTAACGTGAAATACGATACTATCAAGCTTTAAAATTAAATATTTAAAAATCTTTTTTCAAACGGAATTATGCAAGCAAAATTTTAATTTATGATTCAGTTTGAGATTTTGAATGTATATGTCTAATCATACGTATAAATCTATAACAAGGTACTTCTTTTGATTGCAAGGTAGACAACGTGAATTGAACATAAAAGAATTGAGCCTGAAAACTATCACGATACAATCCATTCGTAAATACTCTGTGATTCTAAGCGCAGTTCATAACTTTCCTTTTCGATAGCATCGTAGCCTATAAATTCTCAATCACCTGTCGTATCAGCGGCTTTGGCCGTATTGCTTAGACACTCCCATATAGATTCTCCATCATCATCTTCGTCCTTCATCCTTACGTATTTTTCTTATCAATTCATAATACATAACATAAATTATAAGTTTTCTTTCCTCTTTCCTAGAAACTTTTATATATTTTTTCCAGTCTCTAATGAATAAAAATGTAAAGGCAACTTTAATAACATCGTGCACAAAAACGCAAGGATGCATTTTTTTCCTCCCTTTTATGTTTTAACATATTATTACAAAGAAGAAGATATTACAAAAAATAAAATACTCATGGTATAATAAATGAACATGTTTCATCTACTTATTTTCTTATATTCCCTTTACGTTGATAAGATTTATCAGATTATATTCTTTTCTTTTTATTCTTTTAAGTTATTATTTTCTAAAATTATTATTATCATAATTAATCATTTAATATATATTCTTTAAAAAATAAGATGGCTCTATAATCTAAGTGATATATAATCTATAATATAAATGATATATCGATCACTTTGTCGTAACTGACGTCCAATTTTCTAACTGTCACTCCATTTGGCTGATTATCAGCCGCACCGGTTAGACTATAAACTTTCCGCAATTCTAAAGACAGACTATAACTTTCCATTTCGATACTATCGCGCGTCGTAAATTCCCAATAGCCTGCTGTATCAGTTGTCCCGATGGTAACATCCAGACGCTTCCACGTAGACTCTTCATCATCGTCTTCGTCCCTCATCATTATCCCATACGTATTCTCCGCGTTGATTTATGAACACCGGCGGATCGCCAGGAGAACCGATATCAACGACCGCTGGTCCTGTTCCTTGTTTCTTTCCGAACCGCATTAAAAGGAAATCTACTTATCCAAAGTCTTGTAATAGACAAAAAAATCAGCGAACAAAAGTGAAATATAGATAAAATGATTGATAAACTAGTAATTTGTGTAAGAAAATATTTTCTTTTAAAATGGAAAAATTTATAAAATAGAAATTTCAATAAAAACTGTTATGTTGTTAAAAAAAGATTAATCAATATATATATATGTATTGACATAAATATGATATATGTATAAATACTAGAAGACTTTGGCCAGACTGAGAAATAATAACTCCTCTCATTAAATTTGAAAAAAGTTGTCCTTTGTTAGGACTTTAAATTGGATTAAAATTTTTTTTCTTTGGCGAATTGGAATCTTCGGTACTATATGGATATCGCATATTTATCTCTGTAATCATGAATATTTATATTTATCGGTTATTAACCGCAAAATATCTCTCGTGTGTGATATCCTCGATCTACAGTCTCCGCGGTGTCGAGAAAAGCGTATTGCACTGGCAATGCTTTCGCGTCCGTCTACCGTCAAACCACATTGAAAACTGTGCGCTCATCCATGCGCCTAGGATTCACATCTCCGAACCCCATAATAGACCGGCAGGTAGAGAGGCGTTCGACGATCGGCCGCGATAAGGATCGGCAGGCATGAGTCGTTCCTCGCTAATCGTAGCCTGCGAGGTAGTATCTAATATCATCGCGGCATCGACTTCCGCGTCTTCTTGTAAACTGGAAGCGCGTGTATTCCGCAACGATTGCACCCTTGATCGACATACGATACTTCCTGCTCGTTATAACATGCACGTTACACCTCCCCCCCGGATACCAATAGAATAATCACACCAATTCTTCTTATTAATGTAATAATAACATGTATTAATGTATTATGAAATTATTTTTTCTATCATATTTTTTCGTGACACTTTTATTCAACAATATTAACAACAAACTGTTTGATGAATTTTTAACTGCAAATCTTGAAGGTAATATTTTTTACTTTTTTATTTTCTTGTCTTGATAAAAATTCAAAGAGCGGCATTCTAATTCCTTTAGGGCAAAGTTCAAATATATTTTGTAGAATTATTTTATAAATTTTGCTATCGGAGTGAAGATCACAATTTGTAATATATTTGATTTTGAGGATATTTTTTTAAATTACTGTCTTCTTTTTTTTTTTAAAGAAACAATAAGAATATAATTTTGATCGACCATTCTAAATGCCGATTAGAGATTAATTAAAATCTTTTTTCTATTACGATCACCGTGCTTTTACTGTAAATGGCATTTCGTCAAATTTATGTGCAACATTAACAATAACTTATTCCATGAAAATTTAATTAATAAAATGTCGGTTTTAAATTGAAATTTTTTTCTGTCCCTTGAGACTCGAAGGGATTGTTGATTCCCTTATAACGTCTATGAACACGAAGATGACCCTTGGCAATACGAGACCGGTTTTAATCGTTTCGATTAACCACGTTGAGTCGGCACGGTCTCTGTACAAGTCCATATGGGTTGTTCCATCATGCATTTATGCGATGGAGCAGTCGCCCACGCCATTAATAGTTTTGCCTTCTTGCACCGTAGACTTATGTCGACGAGATTTTCTCACGGCGTTTACACGAACTTTTAGATTATAAACTAACGTGAAGTATGATCGAATTGAAAACCCGATACTTTCTTGTTCGAATATTCTATTCCAAGGTTACAGAGATAAATCTAATTGTAGAAAAAATATTTAAAATAAGAAAACGTATATTAATCGTTGATTTTATATTTGTTTGCTTTACACCTCGCTAATTAAATTAAATCACAAAAGCGAATAACGAAAA